TCCCTGAGCCTGGTTCTGCCGGAGGTTTCTTCCTGTTAAAAGGGAGTTTTTCCTTCCCACTGTCGCCAAAGTGCTTGCTCATAGGGGGTCATATGATTATTGGGTTTTTCTCTGTATCTATGAAGCGCCTTGAGGCAACTTTTGTTGTGATTTGGCGCTATATAAATAAAATTGAATTAAATTGAATAGTGCTCACTACAGTGGACAGCTATTCAAAGGCTGTTTTCTTGTATTTGTGTCAGTGTTGATGGTATACTTCCACTAGTTTAACTAACTGGTGTGTGTCATCTGGCTTCATGGATAGATAAAGCTGGGTATCATCTGCATAGAATGAAAATGCTGTGCCTTTTGATAATACTACCTAAGGAAAACAGAACAGAACCCCGGTGGAACTCCACTGATTATATAGTGAGATCAATGAGCTCAGGCTTTTACATGCACGCTACTGATTTCCATTAAAACAAAGAATAAGTGACAACATTCTACTGTGCAAGAAAAACTTTAATGAAATACAGATTTAAAAGAAACAGTTCAGTTAAAAGGCACTAAGGCAACAATGCTTTTTAAAAGATGTAATTTAATCTAAAGTGCAAATGCTGCAGTTAATTAAGCATTAGTTAGGAAGAAAACATTCTCCACTCATTTTCTCCTTTAGTAGTATGACTTTGTGGGAATACTGCTTTAACACAACAAAAGGATGAGGAGGAGTCACAGGTTGACACACCGATTTGCTTCCATTCGTGACCACTGTCTGGTCACTTCATAATGCCAGGCCAGCTGGAAATCAAAATGGAAAGGTGCTCCATCAAGAAAGACAATGACACATTACTAAGGTCGGACAACAGTCTGCAGCTCCCCTTCCTATACTTTAAATCTGTTAACCTTTAAGGCTACTATTTAACAATCCTCCATAGTGTAAAGGTTTACACGTGTGCATAAACAAGCAAAAGATCTCCTGGCATAATCCCAGGAGGAGACACAAACTTCTTTGGGGTTGCATCAGGAAGGCCATCCAGCATAAAACACAATTAAACAAGGGGAGCGATCCACTGTGGTAACCCCTTGAGAATAAGGCAACAGCTGAAAGCAGCTTTAATTTATACATACAAACTGAGAAATGGAGCAAGAAGGTCAATTTTTATGTGTTTTTGTAACTTATAACTCCTCCTTATCCTTGTGTTGCAAAACTAATCAGCAGGTAGGAATATAGTACCATGTATAATTCTATAGGCAGTACAAGCTTTCAGAACAATCTCCCCACAGAGTCAGGCTGGACACCCACTCTTCAGCACATCTCTGGTTGCATCTTTGCTGCCCGGCAGCGTAGGACTTTCAGGAAGCTGTCAATCTTGTGAGAGTCCCGACGGAGGCAGGACATCAGAAAGTTGAAGTTGATCAACTTGGTAATCTTGTCCTGGCCGAGGCTGGTGCCTCCTCGGTAGGGCAGTGAAGTGATGGCCTGAGCAGATGAACCCATCTGGACACAAACAGGCCGGGAAAAATCATTTTAATGATACATTTTGTATTTGCACTGTAAATGAAAATAACTTTTTATTTTCCCCCCAAAGCTCCTGCAGCCATCTCTTACACACCTTGCTAGATAGTACATCCAGGCCATCCTTGAGACTTTTGGAGTACTGCTGCATCTCCTGGATCTTGTTGAATATGGTGCTTTGTGCTGGGTGAGGCAGGGCACTAGCGGAGGAGGACAGGAGTACGAGAGGGTCCGACCAGGCTTGGAGGAGGGAGCGAGCCAGGGACATCAAATCTGACTCCTGGACAAGAAATAAATAGAAACAATACCACAAGAAGGTGAAGATGTTTGAGGGAAAACAGAAGCAGTATGCAGATTTGTGTCAGTCAGATACAGATTTCTTACTTTTGTCTAACTAAAGTTAAAAGGGGGGCAGGGGACTTCCCATGATGCACTCAGTGTTTCCTCTTTTCAGTGTCTGTGTGTTTACACACCACTCTGCATTTGATCATTAGCGATTATAAAACTCAGGCTCTCTTCCACAGTGTCTCTTTTGGCCTGTTTACCTCCGATTACCCTAAATCAGGGGTGCCCAATCCCGGTCCTCGAGAGCTACCGTCCTGCAGCTTTTAGATGCATCCTTGTTCCCACACACCTGAATCAAATGAATGGCTTGTTATCAGGCCTTTGCCAAACATGATGGCATGCTGTAGAGATCAAACCATTTAAATCAGCTGTGTTGGAGTAGGGATGCATCTAAAAGCTGCAGGACGGTAGCTCTCGAGGACCGGGATTGGGCACCCCTGCCCTAAATCGATCACAGCAGAATCCGAGGCTGGTTCTGCGAAAGGAAGTTCTGTAAAAAGGAAGTTTTTCCTTCCCACCGTCACCAAGGGGGTCATCTGATTGTTGTGGTTTTTTCTCTCTAGTCTTTACCCTACAATATAAAGCACCTAAAGGCAACTTATTGTGACTTTGCTCCATCAAAATAAACAGATATCATTGAATTGTGTTGAAAATACCCCTTTTTTTCTTGTTAGCTTTTGTAGACAGTCAAATCCACACAGTCATTCTCAAAGTACTCTTTAAATGACTTACTGCTTAAAGGGGCCTCTGGAATATAATGTATTTCGCATGAGCTTGCAAGGTTGACATTCAATTTGATGTATAAGAGACAGTGGGGAAGGTGTTAAATACAAAACTGAATAATATGGTAAATGGTAAATGGCCTGTATTTATATAGCGCTTTTCTAGTCCCTAAGGACCCCAAAGCGCTTTACACAACCTGTCATCCACCCATTCACACACACATTCACACACTGGTGATGGCGAGCTAATATGTGGTTAAAGCACATAGAAAGCAAACAATAATGTCAATACTGGAGTAAAAGCACTTACCGATACTTGAAGTGCTTGGTCCTTGTCAATGGGCGTCTGTAGAGAGGAGGTGTGGCACATTGCGGGACGCGGCATGATCACCCTGCCTATAGGAGGGAAGTGAGAGTCCTGGGAGGGACAGAAGTTGAGCGTTAGTCTCTTTAAAAAAAGAAAACGAACAGATTTTTCTCTGTGATGGAACGTAAGGATGCAGAATGCTTTAATTCAACAGAAAGGCTTTCAATCCCCACTTTTCAGGACATTAAATGAATATTGTCCTGCTCGAATAGATCAGTTACAATTGTTTGCTGTAATTCAGTGCATAGTTCCTGAAGATGAGGCAGCTTCAAGCAGACCCACTGCACTGCATGTCAAGCTAATAAGGAAGCATCGGGTTTAAACAGGAAGTTTGTGTTTTTTATGTTTGGGGAGACTGTGACATTTCATTTACAGTGCAAACACACACACACAAACAGGTACAGACCAGCTCCTGGGTGAGCGTCGTGCTGAGCGAGTGCAGTTTGTCAGAGTGCTGAGAGGCTCGCTCGAGCAGTTCGTTGATGGGGACGGCTCTGCACATTGCCACCACACACAACACTGTGAAGCATGAAAAGATGAGCGGAGGCAGAGTTAGAGAAAGCAGCTGCAGGGCCACAGTTTGGTGTCCTTTAGGCTTTTTCCCTCTTTTTCTCTTACGTCTGCTTATCGGGGGGGCTGGGTGGAATGTGAGCATCATTCAACAGGTACAGCTGTCATTTGTTTTTCCTTATTTTTCTCTTATGTTTGAGTTAAAATTTCTGACCTGCATCTAATCTATAAAAGGTATACTTTATTTATAGAAACAAAATTTCTTGTTAATCATAAATATAAATATTACGCTAGGCCTGATAACTGATTTTCAATCTGGCTTTAGTCAATGCAAAAGTGCCATCATCAGTGCTGCCATTATAATTATTAGGTTAATTTAATTCAAAATGTTATGCACTGAAAAATACATTAAGAATACATTATTATGGCTTTCTAACTTCTAATATAATAAATAAATAAATAAACACAAATTAATAGCCAACTCTGGTGCAATCATTTTTAAACATAACTTTTTAAAATCCCCTTAAAAAAAACAAAAAAATATTTTTTTTTAATAATTACTACAATACGTTGAATAACAAGCAAGAACACTTAGTGAAAAAAGTATATTAGTGAATGAATGGTACGTGTCATATAATTTTATTGAAAGCTAATCTAAATTTGGTTTATATAGGGCAAAGAAATGATCAGACCACTGCAATAAACAATGTTATTAGGATGATATTTACGTTTAATATATGCGATACAGATGCATATATTGATGTTATGCAGTTTGGTTGTCAGTGCTGGTGAGCAAACTTGTAACAGTGTTGTTTCTAAATATAATCACGCTTACAAATTTGTATCTTGTTGGTACAAAACTGTAGAACCTCAGGTCTGAACATTTACATTTTCATAAACGCAAATTTTAACTTCTAACATTTTCTTTTAAAGCAAATGATCCATTCTAAGCGTCATGGAGTGTTCTGTACAAATCAGTTTTCAGAAGTAAAACGGCTACGCTGAGCTCACCTGTCATGAAGAGGTTGGTTCCACTGGTTCTTCTCTGAGCCATCTCTCTTCTTTTTCTGTCCGTTAGCCGTCGCTTCTTCTCCTCGTCGCTTTTTCTTCTTCTTGGTCCATCTTGCCTCCATTTTATAGTTCTTTGGCTCCAGTTGTTTGGTTATGCAGGAGCAGGGTGACTGTGTGCTAATTGTCAAGAACTTGCTGGAACCAGTTTATAATGAGAAACATGGTGGAGGGGCTTTGAATGGATGCAACAGGATGCAGTCACAGGTTGATAAGGTGTGCGTGTGTGTGTGTGTGTGTGTGTGTGTGTGTGTGTGTGTGGTGGGGGTAAGGTGGAAAATGTTTGTTCCTGATTCTGATTGGGTGGATGAATAAAAATGCTCACATAAAGTTTTGTAAAAGCGCCGTGACACATGCAGGTTTGACGTAACCAACCAACAGGTTCTCCCACAGGACACGAAAACTCTAACACAACTCTAACACACCTGGATTACAACTGATCTTTTCAGTCCTTGAGCTTCTTCCATTTAAGCCATTAAACTTACAATTCTCATTAAATGATCTAGATGACATGACATAAGTCAAAGTAGAAATGAAAATCTTCAGTTTTAATAACCAGGATGAGCTGTGGGACCAAACAATTTGTAAGTTGACCGTTAATCTTCTTACAAATGTATTTTACAAATCACAAATATTTAGAAAAATATTAAAATATTGTTATAAATAAAATATGAGAATAATATTATGAATTCCTTAGTAATACGTACCAGTTTTAGCTGAAGAGACTCAGTAAGATCTTAAATGTCATGCTATGTATTTGTTAATGATAAATATTGTTACATAATAAAAGTTTAATTACTGATCAGTGAGACCATCCTGATCATCAGGCATCAAATACTGCTGAGATGTGCACATGCTGTTGTTTATCATTTCTCTGTAGGCACCTGTTGCCAAAACTAAGAAACATCATATTTGAACTAAAATCACACTTTCAGTTATTAATGATTAGTGAAGAGTAAATAAAAGTGGTAACGATTAAAAAAATAACATCTTGAATCTTGTCAACTAAACATGTATCTTTGCATTACTATTGATGGTTATTATAAAGCATTACACAGTATACTTATGTACACCAGGTCATACTTGTGCCTATTTAGTATGCTTTTAACCTTTGAGTAGAGTTAAATCTTGCTCTTCTCACCCGCAAACTCATTTTGCAAAATACAGGCAGTGGAGGCATCTGCTGGACAAACACGGAAGTACACACACACACACACATCCCCCATTCCTTTTCCAGGGTGTGTGTGTGTGTTTGTGGGGGGGGGGTTACTGGGCTAACTGGTGAGAAGTGACAAAAAGCAAATGACTTGACGTAAAATTCAGCTTTTCTGAGATTTCATCTCGTTTTATAGAGTATCAGCAATTGATCCTTGTTGGTCTCGTCTTTGGCGACCGACAAAGTCTGTAATCACCTCATTCTTAATGGTGCTGTGATTTAATTTATGATGATTTTATTGATATTTTTTTCCAAGCAGCTCTTTCCATCAGGTTTGTGTGCAATCCATGGAGATTTTAGCAGAGCTGATTATGGCGCTGCCTCTTTCCTCTTTCCTAGAGCCCACTCATGAAGATGAAACTTTTCCCATGCCCGAACCCAAAAAACATTTCACTTTCTTAAAGAACATGAGCAATTGTTTCTAGAGCTCTGTGCTCTGTCTCAACCTCAGGTCCTGTGCCATTTGGGCAACTACGAATAAAAGGTGTTGTTTGACAGTAAAGCAGATTTGATGACAATTTTGTGACTAGCAAGTCATTAAGCAATCAGTGAGTAGTCAGATTTTCTCAATGCACATCATGACTTCTGATTGTAAAAAGAGACTTCATAATGGGACTGCCTAACCAATACGGTCTCTACATACAGTCTGTGGCTCTACTGTTTTACCTACAGTCTACAGTTTGTAATGGTAGGGTCATCATCAAGACAGCGATGGCGATGAACACCAAACCAGTTTGTGACGTGACAGTGGCGACGTCTATCTTTTATCGATGCCTCGAGCACAAAAAGGCACGTTTGTGATGTGGTGTTGACTGTTTCATCAAACGGGCTCCTGTTCCCTTTGTGGACACATTCTCCAAAAGTCAAGAGGTCATGTATGTGATGCTCGCTTTAAACAGCCCTCCCATACACTCCCCCCCCCAACCTTATCCTTTCAGACTATACTACCAAAGTACCACAGCAGGCGTCTCATGTGTGACCTACAGACTGACTTTGAAGGCTCCTCTGATTTTAGCACCACCTCCAGCATGCACACACACGTTTTTGTATTCTACCTGCTGGCAGCAGATTCCTGTTTATTGTCAAGAAAACAGTTCATGTTGTTGGCTTTGTCTCACAGAGCAACACTGACTGTGTGCTTGCATGTTTAGTAAATATGCATGCGGTGTTTAAATCATGCCAAGTCAGCATGCGGCCTGAGGGTCTTACGTGTATGAGGGAGGAAGCTGCACATAGATGAGCTAAAAATGAATCAGAATAAGAGAAAAAGAAAAATGTGAGAACCTCCAGAGTCATATTTCATTGTTTTATGGACTGTTAGGGTGGCCTTGCTGCAGGTCACCACAGTGCAGCCAGCACGCTATGCATTAAATGTTACACATTTATGTGAATCCCCCCCCCTCCTCTTGAGTTCCCTTTAACCCCCATGGTGTCTCAAACAGAAGCATCTTCTTTTTTAGGCTGTTGCTCTTTTGACTTTCCATATTCCACCTCGCCACTCCCCCTCCCCCAAACACTCCCTGTTTGTCTTTCAGACTGCTGACAGCAAACCCACCGTGCACAGTTTTTTCCCCTAGCTGTCCACCTCAGGATCCAGACATCCCATCTGCAGATAGGTAGGATTTAACAGCATTGGTGAATACATTTAAGCAGGTATGCTGGGGTTTCTGCACAGGAAGCCACTTCTGTGATTGAAAGTACATGGTGTACTTGTCCTGACGCGCATGAGCAACATAGTTGTTTTGCCCAAAGAGATGTTTTCCTTCTTTTCTGTAAAAATAATGCTTACAGTGGACACTGGGTAATCTGATGACATGTCTTTTTTTCCTTGAATAGTGGAATTTGGTCATAATTTGTTCGTGCTTTACCCCATGACTTCATGCCAGTGAAATTACGCATGAGTGAGCATTATTTTTGGGAGAGAAGGTGACGGAAAGAGGAGTCTGTTTGTTTTTTAAAAGCAAAGAACTAAGTGGTTGGCATTGTATGCTAATGTAATTTAGGGACACTTTTCTCTGTGGAATATGAATGAGGAGTTTGGACTGTTGGATTGTTTCAGGGTCCTGAAACAATCCGAGTGTGAGTCCTGGCTGATGTGTGGCTGAGATCGTAAAAGAAAAGAAGTAAAAAAAAGAAAAGAAAAGCATGTGTTGTTTTATCGTGAAACTCCGCAGCGGTGGCTACAAAAACCGCCTAAGTTAATAATGCTCACACACATGCATTCACTCCCTCTTCCTTAAATGGGATTGTGACAAGTGTATAAATCTTTTCAAGCCACGTAGTGGGAGCAGAATTACACAGAATTATGATCCTTATTCAAGCAGCAGTTGTGGCTAATTGAGTGTCATCTTCAGGGTGTCTGATGTACACCCAGTTCCTGTTAAACGATCCGTCTTTGTATGAGGTGTGGACTCTGGACAATGACTTCCACTTCCTGTGCTTTACTGAATTCAAATTCAAATTTATAAGACAATCACAGTTGTTATTATTATTATTATTATTATTATTATTATTATTCTTTTCTTTTTAATGATGATGGTGAAAGGAAATTCCTTTTTATTCCTATTTATTCCAACATTCCCAAGGGTCTCACCTTTGTCTGTTCTGGTTAATTTTTTAAAGCAAAGTTAGTCTGTATCCAAAAAACAAACAAATTTGTTAGAATCTAACCAGCAGCTCTGAAGGCGCCAGGCCACAACATGAAACGATAAAGCAGTATGCTCAGTGTAGCTCAGCTGGTGTATTAAAATGGATCTGACACACTTTTCAGACTTACAGAATAGACTGCATTTCACTTAGTTGCAAGTTGAAGGCTGAAAATCAAACTGGCCTCTTTTCTTCGTATTTTCCGTATATTATTTTATTTACTCTGGAGCTAGTTAGCTTAATTTAGCATGAATACTCCACGTGTGACCAAATATCCCAATGTCAGGTTTTCACCTATTTGAAGAAAAAAAAATTCACAATAACAGTAATATTACAGTACAGTAATATTACATATATATTACAGTACAAATATATAAATGAAATCAGGAAAAATGCATTTGTACCATACCAAAGCTGTAAGCTAGCTGTTCCCAACAGCTAGCTTACAGCTTAAAGTAAGCTAACAATGTCCTGGCGCTGTGTGTGTGTGTGTGTGTGTGTGTGTGTGTGTGTCACTTTTTCTTTTCTTGGTGGGGACCAAAATCTGAACTTTACTATCCTCGTGGGGACCACCAGCCCTATTGGTTCCCACGAGTTCGATGGCATTTTTCACACTCAAAGTGTGGTTTTAGTGTCAGGGTTATGGTTATGGTTAGGTTTAGGGTAAGGGTTAGGCATTCACTTTTGATTGTTAGGGTAAGCGCCATGGGAAAGCATTATGTCAATGAGATGTCCCCACTAGGACAGCAACACCTGACGTGTGTGTGTGTGTGTGTGTGTGTGTGTGCTTTTCCCAGAAAATTTGTTTTCCCTTTCTCCAAATTATGGTTAGGGTGGAGTTAGGGTTAGAGTTACCCACTCAGACCTCGCGGGGTTAACTGTCTGCTGACATCACCAAAATGGCAGCCAAATGAATAAGAGGAAAACCAATCTTCTGATCATAAAGGGAAGGTAAAAGCAGCAGACAGATTAAAAACCAATATTTATAAAAGTTATACCGTATAAGTGAGTAAATCTACATGCTGGATGAAAAGCAAAACCTTTATCTTGGCAGCGAGTAGGAGCCGTTGTGAATAGAATTGGAGTCGGGATGGAGGGATTGAGGCCCCTGCTCTTCGGTGGGTTGCAGGAAAAGTGGAGCAGAGAGATGATGAGACATCATGAAGGTTAATTTTTTTTAAAGCAAAGTTAGTCTGTATCCAAAAAACAAACAAACAAATTTGTTAGAATCTAACCAGCAGCTCATCAAAAAACTCAATCAGAACATTAAT